GTAGAGCAACCCATGGTGGTAGGCGGTCTATCATTAGAAAGTAGAGCACCCATGGTGGTAGGCGGTCGGTCTATCATTAGAACATAGAGCACCCTGTGGTGGTAGGCGGTCTATCACGAGAACGTAGAGCACCCCTATAGTGGAAGGCGGTCTATCATGAGAACGTAGAGCGCCCTTTGGTGGTAGGCGGTCTATCATTAGAACGTAGAGCACCCCCATGGTGGTCGACAGCCTCTGACGTGGTACTTTACAGGGGATAATCACCCGCGTACGCGGATAATTATTGATGTTATCTTATATCACTAGACAATAAGAGGAAATTTACAGGGGAAACATGAGAGGGAATTAAGAATACTCAAGATCAAAATAACAGGATAATAAAGGGGGATTTAAGAAGTGTTACCAACCAGGACCAAGAAGAAATTCTAGGGACTCTGTAGGACCACCAGCTCGAATCCTAATCTCCAAGCCTGTTTACCAAGAACCAGTTTCCCTCAAGAGAACACAAACAGAAAAACAAGATTAAAAAACTAGGGTTTCACTAATTTCAGATCGATAAAGGATGTCGCCTGAAAATTAATTTTTCAATGACAATAACTCGACCGAAGACCCCTTATGGACTTACAAACCCTCTGATACCACTTGTAGAGCTAAAACATCAACGAAAGCATAAAACTGGAATCACTAAGAACATCCAAAAGATCAAGAACACCAAGAAATTGATCCTTATATATAGGGCTTAGAACATAAACATTGTACCCGTCTGTACAATAATGAAACAGCCACAAAACCCAAACCCTAAGATGAATGAACACACCGTAGTTACTACAATGGACCAAGATCAAACAACTGACCCAAGACTCTAAAACCCTCAATCAAAGAACTCAAATCACAACGATTTAAGATCAAAACCAGAAGTTCTGATCAATTGACACAAAATCAAAAGAGAGAATACAGAGATGAATGCCAGAAGGAAAACCCAAAAGCTTCTATTGAACTGAACAAAAGGCGAAATGAAAAATCACACAAAGAGTGACCATTCAGCTGGTATATATACAAAGCACCATCACCGTAGATCCAACCATCAATCTAACAGTCCAGAGCAACACACGTGGCCTCCACCTTGGGCTCGGGTTTGAGCTTGAATCAAATATTGAGTTATTGGGCAATGGCCAGCTAAAAAACATTTGGCAAGTAGGCTTAGCCCACGTTTCATCACATCCCCAAAAAAGGATTTAATGGAATTGACAAGAATGGCATCACAATCCAACGCATTGTACTTCTACGAATATAATAATTTACTCATTTTATCATGGAATTCAATTCCCTGCAATTGCTAGCGCCAAAGAAAATAGATACTCACAGCTGCATGTCTGTCGAAAGATGGGGCAGATCGGTATGTCAACTCCATTGGATCTGGCATCTCAAAATCTCCTATCCCAGACAACAAAAGTGGCATAAATTCCTTCACAGCCAGAAGAAAATAAAAAATTAAAAAATTAAAATGCATACCAGTGTCCACTACTTTAGCAAGTTCCTCGGCGTTTCCCACTTCATTTAGAAATGCTCTCTCGATTTGAGAACATGTCTCCACCAGCCCCTTAGTGTTAGTTGTGTCACGAGACTCTTCCTCCACGAAGTTTGCAACTCATGTGTCACTAAGAGAGGATGCAGTAAAGATCAGTTTTGGTTAAAATACAAGGCAATTAGAATTAGTATGTAAGTTTCCTCGTGTACTTGGAAAAAATTTCCGTAATGGAAAATTTTATGGTTGCTACAAATAACAATTTTTCAATGTACAGGCTACTTGTTAGCAGAGTGTCTTGAGTCAGGTTTATTATTCAGAATATGTTTTCATTATTTTTATTGTTCTAGGGTCATTTTTATCATCGATCATTGTATCCTAATAAGTTGCCTCTTTCTGTTTCCTATTCAAATTATGCCTCTGCTGATTTCATTCTTTGAATTATAAAGAAAGCACTGTACTATTTACCCATGTTCTAAAAGGCGCGAAAATGTACCGCCTAGGCGCAACGCGGGTCAAAAACGCTTTGAATTTGAGAAATGCGTGAAAAATGTGTTTTCCATCTAAAAAGCGCGTCTAGGCGTGCATTATCCCACCTAATCCTTTTTTTTTAATCCATTTTTTAATGATATATTAAAAAATCTACTTTTTTATATAAAAATATATTTAA